AAAAAAAAAAAAAAGAATTCCTCATATCAGTGAGATCATATGATACTACAAGTTTTTAAAACGAAAAGTTGGGGGGAAATAAATAAAACTTCTCTTTCTATGAAATAGAACCGTAGAAAAAGCGAAGAAACACACACTTGCAGGAGCCCAGTGGGCTCACGTACCCATGCGGACTGCGTGGTCAAAGTGCAGAGTCTCCTCTAGGAGGCTGTTCTCTGGGCGCTTTTGAGCTGTCACTTCCCCTTGAAGTTGCCAAGGTTTTTTTTCCAACAACTCTTTTTCTAAAAATGCAATTTTTTCATTCATCTAAGAAAGAGAAAAAGTTATTACACATTTAGGAAACAAAATCAGGATTATAGCTACATAAAAGCAACTGACTTTTTTTTTTTTTTGACGGAGGGAGAGACAGCGAGAGAGGGAACACAAGCAGGGGGACTGGGAGAGGGAGAGTAGGCTTCCTGCTGAACAGAGAGCCTGATGCAGGGCTCGATCCCAGGACCCTGGGATCATGACCTGAGCCGAAGGCAGACACTTTTAACGACTGAGCCGCCTAGTGCCCCTCAACTAACATCTTTAAAAGCACAGAAACAAGAAACGCATTATTCCTCAATACGCTTGTTTTAATCTTGCCGTTTTATTACTAAGCCAACAGTGACCTCCTATTCCTGACACTTGAGGTGGGGTAACAAGCTGCAGATGACCTTCCTCTTTCCCTCCCTGATTTGAAATGCCATGTTTATAATATACTGAATTCCCCCAGAAGAATTTGGGTAGATTTCTGGGCTCTGTTCTAATCTAATGGTCTATCTATTCACAAGCCACTATCAATTTTAATTATTAGAGCATTACAAGATTAATTTATTAGAACATTAGTAACTGAAGGAGCCTCTTTTGACCCCACACTCCCAAATCCAAATTATCTCTAACTACTAAAAGACATCTATAATGACTTTATAGTGTACAGAATGCCAGCCTTCTCAGTCACTTTACTGAGTTCTCATATTTTTCCTAATAGCTTTCAATTCATCTGCTTAGGTTTTTCCAGTATCTTTTGCAAATATTAACACTCACTTTAGTTTTTCTTACCTCTTATCTTTCTCTTTCGTAGTTGCACTAATACTTCTACAAGGATGTTAAAAAACAGTGGTAACGGTAATTGTGGACATTCTTATTCTTCATTTTAAAGGGGTATTTCTAGAATTTCACCACTGAGCATGACAGCACTTTCTTGCTAGATGGGTTTGTATTTCACTACAAGTGAAAATTAGGAATGGATACTGAATTTCATCAAATGTCTTTTTGACATATAAAAGAACCATATGGTTTTCTCCTTATTCTGTTATTCTGTTAAAACCAAGAATTATAGTAATAGATTTTCTAATCCTGAAATCAAGAAAATGAGGCCCATTTAGTTGTGGTGTTGTTAGTCTTTCACTGTGTTATTTTGGATATTTACATCACTATTCATAAATGAAACTGTGTGTGAGTGTTTTAATGTCAGGTTTGGGTATCATGTTATAATAGCTTCACAAAAAAAAAAGTTTGGAAGGTGTACTCTTTATACGTGGGAATTGATCAAACAACATTCAATCATGTATTTCTTGAAAGTCTGATATAATTCTCCAGTAAAACTAAACCTGCTTTTTTTTCTTGAGAAGACACAGGGAGGTTAGGACACTAACTCAATGCAATTTCACATTTTCTTTCCCAATGCTGCCCACCCCCTTTTAAATCTTCTCTCTCTTCTAGGAACAATCTGACAGTCATGGATTTAACTCATTCTCTTTTTCTAATAATTCTTTTGATATCCATGATATATCTGATTATTTGCCTAGCCTTGTTTCTAATTGTGTGATATAATTTTAATGTGATTAAAAGGCAAAGACAAATAATTGGAGCCAGGCTATATCTATTTTTGCAAATGGCACTTCATTTGTCCGAAATCATTTCAAAAGGAAATAATTTTTATCAACTTTGGAAGATGTGTTTGAGATGGAATTAATTAACATTCAAACTATGTGGAGCCATCTACAAATTATCTCAAAGAAGCAGTATCCTTATGAGCAGTTGAAACAGCTACAAAGAGAGGTTCACAGGACAGCTAATTTAAAAAAAAAAATGCCATTAGTGTAAAGAAACCAGGGACAGAGGGAAAAAACAGGTTTTTACACAAATCGAAAGTCACACGTTGGGAAATACAGCACTTTTGCAAATTAGCTACCTTCCACATGGGGATTTTTATAGTGTCTGGTAGAGAGTAGCACCAAGATTTTTGTTTTTTATTTTTTTTTAAAGATTTTATTTATTTATTTATTTGAGCAAGCGAGAAAGAGAGAGAGAGCACATGAGAGGGGGGAGGGTCAGAGGGAGAAGCAGACTCCCTGCTGAGCAGGGAGCCCGATACGGAACTCGATCCCGGGACTCCAGGATCATGACCTGAGCCGAAGGCAGTCGCTTAACCAACTGAGCCACCCAAGCGCCCAGATTTTTGTTTTTTAAGCATCTGCCTTCGGCTCAGGTCATGATCCCCTCCCCCATCCTGGGATCAAGCCCCATATCGGGCTCTGTGCTCAGCAGGAAGCCTGCTTCTTCCTCTGCCTGCCTGTCTGCCTACTTGTGATCTCTCTCTGTCAAATAAATAAAATCTTTTAAAAAATAAATATATAAATAAAGGATAAGTAAGCATTCCACCAAGAAAAAGAGTAGATTAGTTATCTGTGAGTTGCACAGTTCTGGTAAACATATAAAAATTTCCTTAAATTCCCAATTCTTACCTTTTCCTGTCTTTTTTCAAAAGAGGATTTAACTTCATCAGAATCTTTCTGTACATTTAAGATATTTGTATCCTCACTTTCCTCATCATCTGGCAAAGCAAAGGTCACTCTTTTCGAGGTTTCTTTATGTTGTTTACTGTCTTCACTCTCTTCAAGGTCATTATCTTCATCACTATAGTACCAAAACACTTATGAAAGGATAATACACTATTTTTCATTAGGAAAACAAAACCAATTCTCTAGAAAAGATATTCTGTATATCTTATGCAAATAGTCAGAATTCCAGTCATTCAATTAAGGAACAGAAGGTATTATTTAGGTGAAACGGAACAAAAAGTGTGCAATATATAAAAAATAAATTATTCCTCAATCTATAATACAAATGTTATCTCACAATAATAACAGTATTTTTATTGGCACAAAAAGCAAACAAAAGCTCCTTGTAATAAAGGTTTGATTGCCGCTGCCAGCGATATTTATCTTCATCAGATTATCTCTAAAGCCCCTTTAAACTCGGAGACTTTCTTCTGGCTACCTTGTGACTATCTGATCTTAGAGAATATAACTTCTTAGGACCAACATATTTGACAACTATGAGTACACACATATAATTGGATGGTTCTAGCTTACAGGATTCAAAATACTCACGTTTCAGAAATGCTCCCTTCTCCTTCTTCGTCAGCAATTTCTTCCTCATCTTCATTTGAACCCAGTTCATCATCATGAACACTTGCTAGTTCTTCATCACTTTCAACTGGATCAAAGAAGTCTTTGTATTTCAAGTTTCTGGAACTTTTACCTGACTAAAGTAAAAAGACTTTTCAAACTTTCAATTAAGAACAGAAGAACACATTAAATCATGCATATATGTGTATGCCTATTACATACAGGGAACTGGTAACTGACAACACTACCACAAAACTGTAAGAACTACTAGACTTGAACAAACTGGAAGGAAGCATAGATTCATTTATAACTGGTAAGACAGAGCACAATATTCCTAACTCTAAAGCTTCTAACTACAATTATTTCCAAAATATCCCTGCCTAAAGTATACAAATGCCTTCCTCTCCCTATTATTTTTAGCGTTTGGTGAGAATATGTTTGAGGGAAATTCTGAATACCTCTAACGTGTGATTATGGTTCTTACGCTACAAAACAATGTGGTAAGGAAATGATAGCTTCGGTTTAATTTTTCTAGTCCATTGTTTTCAACTGATCTCAATATTTCATTTACACCCTGGTAAGTTTTGAGGTATTTTAAACCTCTTCTCAAGAAATAAAACAAAATCTAATTTAAGGAGGTAGAAAGTCCTCTCTCTCTTCTCCCAAAACTTTACCTTAGGTTTTTGACTTCTAAGCAGTTCTCCCTCATCTTCATCAGAATCAACGTCTTCAAAAAAATCAATGTCTTCCTCTTCCTCATCATCTTTTTGTTCTTCTTCCTTTTCCATGTTTTCTAAAAAGGTCTCCATTTCAGACAGTTTGAAAAATTTATCATCTACTATGGACTTCTCTCTTGGTTTCCTAGGCACTTTGTCTTGCACCTTGCTCTGTTGCTCCAATTTGCTGATATCAAAATCAAGATCAGAATCCTCATCACTGAAAACTGGACTTTTCCTCAGATCAACTTTGCTCAAGTTTTTAGCTCTCTCATCCACTTTAGAATCATCACCACTCAGGTCAGCCACTTCCTCCTCCTCCAGATCTTGTATGAGGGCCTCCTGGCCATCAGACTCCACCTCTGAGCCATCCTCTTCACACTCCTGCTCTTCATTCTCTGGAAGAAGACTGATGTCTTTGTCTTTAATGGTTTTACTAACTGCATTCTGGAAGTACTGTAAAATTGGTTCATTTTGCAATTCTAGTTGTTGCCAAATCTGCTCATCATCAAAATTGTCTATCACCAGTTTTTTTAACGGACTTCCGTGGATCCTGTCATTCTCTAATATTTTATTAAAATCATAAAGTACTTTTGTTAATGAAGTGAAGTTTGATGCCAATTCATCTTGAATCCTATTAAGGGAGCACAAGGAGGAAGTTTAAAGAGATTTATAATTATAGGCAATAATTTCACAGCACTGTGAATTAAAAGGAAAAAGAAGCCCAACTCTTGTGCAAAATCAAACTTGAATGAAATATCAATTTTAAGTATAGATTCTGGCTCCTAACAGTGTATTATCTTGCTGAGGCACCACACTAATATATAACTAAGTCTGTGATCTGCTATATGGATTTTAGGCAGGCAAACTATTACACACCTCTTTGCTTAAAGATATATAGTGAATCTTAGCCTTAAATGCTCAACTCTGCTATATTATATGCCACTCCATTCAGTCAGCCAATGGTTAACACTTGCTTTGGCACGAGTGCTCAGAGAATACCTCTGAAGATGTAACATCTGAAATGAGACCTGTATATAAGGAGACAGTCTTACAAAGACCTGGAAACATATATTTCAAGCAGAAAAAACAGTGAGAACAAATTTCCTAAGATAGAAATGAACTTGGTGAGTTTGAGAAACAGAAATGCCAGCATAGCTGGAGTGTGTGAAGGAGGCAGAAGGCCAGGGAGGTAGATGGGAGCTGTATCATGCAGGGCTCAGAGGTAAGAGTTTGCTGTTTTAAATGTAAAGAGAAGCCATCAGGTGATTTTAAGCAAAGGAGGAAAATGATGTAATTTACACTTTGGAAAGATGGCCAACTGAAGGAAAGGAACGAAAGTACAGTAATTAGGTTGACACAGCCATCCAGGCAAAGGATGATAAACAACTGTGCAGGGGTTAGAGCAGCAGATACTGCGACAAGCAGTCAAATTTACAATATAGTTTGAAGATAGAACCAACAAAATTTGCTGATGAATTAGAGGTAGAAATGAGAAAAAGGAAGATATCAAGGAAGCAGCTTAGTTATATGTCTGAACGACTGAAAAACCAGAGGTGCCAGTTACTCAGGTAGGGAAGGCAGGTGCATGTGGAAAAGATTTCAGGGAGGGCAGAGTATAAGAGAGTAAAACAGAAACAACAGGTCATTTCGGACATAAGAAATTTGAGATGCTGAGAGCGTACATGGCTGTAGCTGCTGTGCGCCTGAAGCTCAAGGGAAAGGTCGGGTATGAAACACAAATCTGAGAGCCACACTTTCATAGATCATACTTAAAGTCCTTCAACAAAATACGAAGAGCTTGTGTTGGGAAGAGAGATGAAAGTCCTAATTCTCAAGAAGCTCATCGTGGGGGGGGGGGGTAGACAGACAACAAATTTAATACTTTCAATAAAGTATGATGAGTAAGTAAGCACTGGGTGGTTTGGGAGCGTGTTGGAGAAAAGAGCAACCAACCTAGTGCACGCGCACCTGAAGAGTAGGGGGGTGCGTAAGACTCAATGGAAGGCTCTGGGCGTTCCTAATTGAGCTTAGTTTGGTTACTACACGACTGGGAGATCTGCACTGTACAGCATTTAACAATTTAAAAATTTGTGATAGGCTAGGGGAGCGTAACTATCTGAAATCTGGGGGAAACAGATATACGCTTCCCTTCACCTTCCCCCTACTCCAAAATTTGCTGGGGGCCAGCAGTCCGCGCCAACGTGAGACCCGGGCCGCACCCCGAGCCCGGGTTCCGTTCACTTACGTGAGAAAGCACTCTGGCTGGCCGGTGGCTTTATCAACCTCCTTCAGACACCGCTCCAAGGTCCGTCGACGCCAGACGCGCGGGGCCATTGCTGTCTACAACTCGGGACACAGCGCCGCATGCACAGGAAAAGGGCCGCCCGGAAACCGCGCCACAAAGACGCGCCTCGCGCAACCTGGACCCTGGAGACAAAGGTTCCGCGGCGTACAGGTTCCGGACCCACCCCCTGCCAGGGCCAATGGCAGCGCAAGAACTTTCACTGGGCCATTGGTCAGTTCTAGCGCCTTTCTCTAAACTTTCTGTTTTGTATTCCTGAGGGGCCCACAGGGGTGACGCGTCCTTCGTTTAAGTTTCTGCTTTAGATGCACTGGGTGGCTTCAATACGTAAAATAAGAACAAGCCCACCCGCGGCAGCATACGAACAGAGCAACGCTCGCCACGCCCCCTAACCTCGTAGGCCCCGCCCCCAGCCGCGTTGACCTGCCCCTCGACTGAGCTCCTTTCCCGGGAGAAGCACCTCGGGCTTCAGTGGGTCACTTCCCAAGATGGCGCGCGTGTTGAAGGCGGCGGCGGCGGCAGTGGCGGTGGCGGTGGCGGCCGAGAGCGCAGTAGGTGAATACCCCGCGCGGTCGGGGCTCTTCGGGGGGCGGGGCGCGCGGGACGCGAGACCTGGAGCTGGAGGAGGCGGCCGGTGGCCAGAGCACCTACGTCCACTGCGCTCTGTCCCCCGGTCAGCACCTTAGGCAGAAGGGATCTCCCAGGAACGCCTCAGGTTAGCGTGAGGGTTCTAGTATTCGATTCTCACAGCCACCTTAGGAGGTGTGTGCAGTTGACCTTGCCCCTCTATATAGGTGGCCTCAGAGAGGCGAGGGACCTGCCCAAGGGGACAGACAGCAAGGCTGGGACAGAAGTAGATGAAGTAAATGGCAGAGAGACAGTGAGTGTTCATTTCCAGTACACCATAGGAGATGCGAGAAACCAGAAAAAAGGGCAAGTCCTTTAAAAAACGTAAGCTGAACTCCCAAGTACTTCCAGTATCCCTCTGGAAACACTCGGAGGTCAGTTGTGTGAAGAATACCAAGGGAGTGTTTTTTCCCTCCTGCCTTAATATGTTTATTATTGCGTATATAAACAGGAAAGACAAAGGCAGACGGATTTGGAAGGTTCCTTGAGTCCTCTACACCTCCATTAAAAAAAAAAAAAAAAGCTGGATAGACTCAGTAATGACAGAAACTCAAGTTTTCTGACTCTCAAGCCACCCACTTTCTCCTCTTTCTTTATCTTCTTCTTCATCAGAGGGCCACTATTTCAATTAATCTGAAATTCCCTGTTAGGAAGAGTGCCAGGTGGTAATGTCTCAAGAGTTACTCCAGAACATTTGCCATAAAGCCTTCAGCTTGGAACCTTCAGAAAGTGTTCAGGGATGAACCTTTAATAATGTTAGATCGGCTTGCTAGATAATGCTCTCTCTATTCCACCCATTCAAATTTACAGTTCTAGCCATCCTTTGAAGTCCCGTCTCCAACTAACCAGTTCTTTATTGATCACTATAGTCTTCCTTACCAGTCACAACATTTCTTATACATTTATCATTGCAAGTCACCAGGGCTAAGTGATGAGCCACATACAAAGAAGTGCACCATAGTAGTTTTAGTTGTCTCCACACTTTATCAGTTTGAAGAGGTGATATGTATACATGAAAAAATATTAAAATAGGCTGAGCACAGCTTGTTGAAATGAATCTAATAGGTGATTCTCGAGTTTTTATAGTAACACACCCTTCTGGTCCCTCCTTCCTCTCCCTGGTAAGATACAAGCAGCATCTTAGCTCACACACAGTTGCAAGTAACCCTTTGCAAAAAAACAAAGATAAGAAAAATAAGACAAAGAGTCATCTCTTATTATCTCTTAGAAAGCCATCTGTTAGAATGTAGATATTGTTCATAAAACATACACTGAAGATATTAAAAGTTGAAAATCAAAAGAATGGTAAAAATTTCAGAGGAAAGAGAAGATTCAACATCATGGTTTAGTAACATCAACTTTGATGTCAGACAGACCTGGGCTTGAGGCCCAGCTTAGTGTGACCTTGAAGAAATTACTTAATCAGGCCAATTTTCCTTGCCTGCAAATGGGAAAAATAATATTGTCTGATGCACAGAGTTATGGTGAAGATTGAAGTGCTCACTGAACTATTACTGGTATGTCTATTTTATGGCCATGAGAACTAATAAGCAGAGCTACGCTAGCACATGATGTACTCCCACTTCAGAATTCATGATTTCACAGTTTGCTTAGGCAAGATTACAGACTTAGGCAAGCTTACAGGGCAGTATTGTTGCATAACTCTAACAATGAAATAAAGCCATGGGTCTCTACTGGTAATGAGGTCAAATCAACAAGATGGTACATGATGGTATGCCATAGGATTCAGTTCTCTACTGTTGGTAAATCCCAGCAGTATGGAGAATGCCTAGAGACTAGGGAGTATCTGCATTGGGGATAATAACTAGCTTATACAGTTCTTGAAAGGCAGAATTGTTACATAGTTTCCACTTCTATATGATATTAAAAGGAGTTCTCAAAGCAATAGTCATGAGCAGTGTGGGTGAGTCAGAGGGTTACTATAAACAACTAATTTTAACTTGAAAAAATTGTAAATCACTATTCTTTATCAAAAAGCAAAAGGAGAACTATGCCTATAATACCTTCCAGCAGCATTATTCCACCAGGGTGTTAGTAGTCACTAAATACTGAAATACTACCAAAGATCTTCTAAAATCACAGCCCACACTGTAAGTTTTCCAGAGTAAAAGGAGACTAGTCTCCTTGTCATAAAAAGTAGTAAGTTGTGGATTGATGAAATGATGCAGGGAATACAGAAATACTATGTGTGTCAAAACATAAATACAAGTAATACAAGTAATCTTTAGTATTTGAGAAAGATTTTTTTTTATAATTTTTTTTTTTTTTTAAAGATTTCATTTATTTATTTGACAGAGAGAGAGACAG